GGCCTACGTCGTATAGTTCCCTCACAATTTATTGCTACTTACCTAAAAGGTGTCCCCAAGATCTGGGTTAGGATCTATAGTAACTCCCAATACAAAACCCTCAAAAGTAAAGCAACCAAAACAAACAAGAGAAGCAATTTCATGATGAACTAATCCTAAGGTATACCCCACTTATTTCCCCAGCAGAGTCGCCAGTTCTGTGATTCGGTGGCAGAACCGGACTGTTTTGAAAATGTTGGTTTGCATTTTACGTTTTTTGTTTGCAAAATGTCGCGGTAAGCAAGACTCGCCACCGACTTTTATTTTATCCAACTGGAAAGGAAAAAAAATCACTGAAAAATTCCTTTTTCGAGATTGAGTACGGGGGGTAGATTATAGAAAGGGAAGGTATTAGCACCCTTTCTATCCGTACTTTTCTACGGGCTCTTAGGTATTTGCTCATCATTTTAAAAATTGCTTGTGTTTGTGTGCTTTGAAAAGTTTTTGTTTTACTTCGTTTTAACCCTTGCTTCTGTCTCAAGAGTGTTACGAAGTGTTTTTGAAAACTTTGTTTGAAAAGAGTGTAAGTGTGGAAGAGTTTGATTTTGAGCAAGTACCTAATAACATCTACCTACTCGAAAAAAGAATGTTTCTGTTCTTGTTTCCTTTAGACAACGCTATCCTACTTATTTGAGAAATAGGAAGCACCGTCGTTGGAGTTGTAAGGGCCAATTCGAAAGGGACGTACGATCACTAGAGCAATGTTAGGACGTCTTAGTAATAACCCTAGTGTCTTAAGATCATATTCGAGGCAACATTTCCGAGGCAACATTTCCGAATGGGACATTTGATATTTGTTTAGACAAGAGGGAAACCACTAAGACACCTTATACTAAATGATCATTTACCGAAGGCAACCGAAGTGAGAGTATACCCTAGGAGTGCGCATGTGCGAGTGATTTGATTTCAGTTATTATCTTTGCACATTTAGGGTTTGCTAACCGTTTTAAAATTAACATACAGTCTTGTCATGCAATCCTATTATCATACATCTAACAGTTAATATTTGCGAAAATTAAAATGCGAGAAATAAAACTAAGTTATTACAAGGCTTCAGGGAGAGGGATTAATTACATAGCAAAAAACCCGTAAAACGATAAATAAAAGAAAAATCCTAATTAAACTATTACATACCATGGGCAGTTACATTAATATCGTAAAAAATAATAAATGCGCGCGATGAATCGAGAATGAGAAAAAATTAGGGTTTTGACCCCGTCTAAACCTAATTAAAAAAATCATTTTTTTTGTTGTTTTTGATTATTTTGAGAAAATAAGGTTTTAATTGAATAAATACAAACCTAATTACTAATTGATTGAAATTAAGAGAAAAAAATTAATTTTGACCTGTTTTTGTATTTTTATTTAATTTGAGAAAAGAAATAAAAATTAAATCACACAAACCCTAATTTTCTAATTTATTTTAAATTATTTACAAAAAGGTTAGAATTACCCTAAAATTAAATTAACCTAATTATTAAATTAATTTTTGACAAAATAAATGAAAAACCTAAACTCTAATTTGATGAAATTGATTTTATGATTTTGTTGCAAAAAAGAATTAATTTTGTGTTAGAAAATAATTTAAACTAAATAAATAAATCAAATAAATATAAGAAAGTAAAGAAAATGGGCCTCGTGTTTTGAGCAAAGAGGGTGGTGTCAATTGTAATTCTGGGCTCAAAACTCCTTGGCCCACGTTGACTTTCCAGATCCCATGTTGCAAGCTTGACTAGGCCTATGATGGACCTCCATGGAGAAGGCATTGGATCTGCCTTGTTGATGATCTGGTGACTGGGAGTTGAGGGCATATGGTGGACTCATTGCATGCACGCACACCTGATCATGTAAAAGAAAATAATATTGACAAATATGGGGACCTGGGGATCGAACCCAGGCCCTTTGGCTTTTCCAAACGCCCGATGACCATCTGAGCTAGCGTGCTTTTGTATATATGGAACAATAAATAATGATTATAATGGAAAAACAAAATAATAATTACAAAACGCGCGAATTTTGAATAGGCGAATCAGGGAGTGCCACACCACCCTTCTTCTTCCTCTCTCTGTTGGTAAAAGTTCTGACTTTTACCTACAGTTATCTGGGCGTAGGTACAACTCTGTGATCCTCCAAAATCCTATGCACGCATGATAAATCAATACCAGTGGTACCAATCAACTCGTTGCAACCTCACGAGCATCATGGTACCACTCTCCCTGGCTAATTGTACCTGTAACAAAAAACCCAAAAAACGAGCCAAGAACCCTAACTATGGCATCTTGCTCTACAGTTAATAAAAATGCAATTGAACATAACCAATAGCTTGAAAATGATTCAATGATCAAGAATATGTAAAGAAATCATGCTACAAATGCCAGAATCGTGATATTTGATTTCAAGAAAGTATCAATGTCGTGAGATGTTTACAACGCGTTTTAGGATGTTATGAGGCTTGTTAGTGATTGCAATATGACCAAGAGATATCCAGCAAGCGATTGAGATAGATGGGAAGGCTTGAGATAGCCTGAAAATTGGAATTTGATTCACCACTTTTGTTGAGTTTTTGCAAGCTTGCTTTCTGTTTCTCACGCCTCCAATCCCCTTGTTTTTGGTCTACACATGCTCTATATGTACCCTAGAATGAATTAGGTTACAAGCTTGCTTCAAATCTTTCTCAATTAAGATGATTGAATCATGATTTGATTCTTATGCAAATCTTTCCAAATCAAGCCAAATCCAATCTTTTTGTGTCCTAATGAAGCTTGCACGATTTTATTTTCTTTCCAGCTGTATAAGAGACCTAAACATGCACAAAATCCCAAGCTTTGATTAGTTTTCATATTTTCATGATTTTATTTGATTTAATTGAAATAAAAATCAAAATAAATGACAAAAATAAAATAAATACAAATGGGAAGGATCATGGGTCGTGGATCATGTTACAAACTCAATGCAAGCATAAAAAATTGGGCCCATTTGATAAAAATTGCAATTTTGGCTACATTTGACTTTTGACAATTTTGCAAAAAGGGTCAACTTCACCAATGCATAACTCCTTCAATTTTTACCTTAGAGATGTGTTCTTGGACTTTTAGAAAGCTTAAGATGTTCTCTAAGCATCCATTTTGGTCTCATCTCAATTTAGTCTTCCATGTTCATGTATGAAGCTTTGACAAAAAATGTGTTTTTGTTGACTTTTCAAAATGACCTATAATGTCCAAATTTATATCTTCTTGTGAGTGCATATTTTAAACTTGGGAGCTGAAGATGAATTGTAGGGAATTGCATCCTCTTCAAAATGAGCTTTAGATGGGCCATTTTTGATAAAGTATGAGAAAGTTATGCTTGGTCAAAGTTGAGTTGACTTTTTCTATAAAATCCTAATTTAGCAACTTTTGGGTTTTGATGAATTATGAGCAATCCTTGAGGAATCATGATCAATCCTTGATCAAATGATGAATAATACTTTAAAATTATAATGTTGACCAAAAATCTTGAAGTTTGACTGTATGTAAGACACAGTTGACTTTTGCCATAGCACAATCGATTTTCAGGCTTTTGAGCAATTAACTGAGCAAACTTTCTCTGTAAGGCTTGAAACTTGACATGGATGATCATGAGAACATATTAGGACAATGGTGAGCATTTGGGATCCTTTGGACTCAAGCATCTTGATGCAAACTGAAACCCCAATCTGAGGTAGACTGTCTTAGGAGATAATTTGTCTGGTTAACTCTTGGACTTCCTTGAGCAATTTGAGGATCTCACTTGAAATGTATTGAGAAATATGAGAGGGAAAATTTTGGGGTACGACATTCGTCATCTTGGATGTCCCCGTCTAACCATCGCATCAACTCTCTCTTCAGACACTCCATGAAATGAATATGCCAAAATTTTATTTTCATCAGAGGTTTGGTGGCCGAGAAAATAATGTATCCATCTCTCGTGAAAATCATGGAAGATGTCATGACGAAAAAATTAGAGAAAATGAGAAGAGAGAGTGAGAAAGTGTGAAGAATGATGGAGAAATGAAAATTTTATTTATAGAAAATGCAGATACATGTAAGAGCCGAATGATATGACATCTCTTTCTAAAATTAGAGTGCATGCGTCATCCCATATGACTTCATGGTATTGCACACGCAATCTCAAATGGTGCCAAATGCATTTTTTGAATGAATGCGTCATCCTACTTGGCTGAACTATGTAAATCAATTACGAAGCATGATTATTTGTATAATTGTTTTCAAAAAATAATTATTTGAATATATTTTTTTCAATACCTTATTATTTCAATTTTTTAAAAAAAATATAAGCAAAGAAATTGTTTATATAATTAATAATCAATTAAAATTGTTTTCTCATTTTTCATTACTAATAATTAATAATAAATTAAAACTGCTTTACATTTTTCAGTGGAATTTGTTTTTAATAATAAAAAAATTACACTCCAAATTATTATACTTGCTTTTCTTAATAATTTTTTTAAATTATTTTTTTGTATAAATTGGACAGAATTTGTTTGTGGGAAAAATGATTAGGTCATTAGGTGCATCTTTTCGCTTCCTTTTCTTCCATAATCCATATCACGACTAATTTTCAACCACCACACGTTCCAATTCCAACGCGTAGCACTATTATTTATTTCAATTAAATATATGATTTCTTTTATTTTGAACTTTTCGACACACACAAAAAAGAAAAGCTTCACATTTATTTTTATTTTTCATTTTTCTAAAATTAGGTGTAAATACATTGTCATACTAAATTTGAAAAGACACATTCTCGACGGCAACGAAGATTTCTCTCCCATTTTCATCAAAACCCCCAATTTTCCTCAATTAGGGTTCATTCCATTTCCAATTCCCAATCTTTCAAATTCCCCCAAATCTCCCCTCCCTCCTCTCCCTGAGTCCCGATTCTCACGGCGAGCTTCCGTCGCTCGCTTATTTGCCGGACTCATGGCGAATTTCTCCGATCGAATATTCAACTCCGTCATTCTCACCTTCTTCGCTCTATGCATCCTCTTCCCCATCTTCACAACCTCACAACAAGACCACGAAGAATCATCATCCGTTCTCCTGTTACCGTCCGCCACCGCCGGCGAGGAACAGACTATGTGTTCCGGAACGACACCGTCGTCATGTCCGGCGAAATGCTTCCGTACGGATCCCGTTTGCGGAGCCGACGGTGTAACATACTGGTGCGGATGCTCTGAAGCCGCCTGCGCCGGAGCTAAAGTTGCTAAATTGGGGTTCTGTGAAGTGGGGAATGGTGGATCCGCGAATTTTCCTGGTCAGGCTCTACTTTTGGTTCACATTGTGTGGCTGATTGTGTTAGGGTTTTCGGTTTTGTTTGGGGTTTTTTAGTTTCGCTGACGGAGAATTGTGTAATTATGAGGATGTTGTTGTGTGTTTGTGTAGTAATCTTCTGGGTTTGGGTTTCGATTTAGGTAACATGACAATTCTTTTTCTCATTTTTTATTATTGGGGTGTTATGGGGGATTTGGGAGATTTGTATTTTTGTTTATATTGTAATTGATCATTTGACCAATTCTTATACTTGATGTATACGTTATGAGATGAAACCATCAAATTTGTTATTGAATTCAGTTTATGCATTGTTGTTGGTATCTTATCATACATGTGAATTAATGGTGACCCAATTTGATACAAAGATGAACACAGTTGATACAAAGTTTTAGTATATGTAATCTTGTATTGAATCTTGATTCAATCTGGTAGATTGTTCTTTTGTGATGTTATATTAAAGCATTGCAAACCTCTTTCTTTTGTCATTTGAATCTTGCATTCTTTTGAGATTAGTAGATTATGTATTAGCTTATAGGTTTGCTATCTTGAATTCTTTTTATTGGTAAATGTATCTTCCGATGCATTAAGATTTTTGAATCTCAATTTGATAATCATGGTATGATTTTGGGCCGTCTTCCAGGGTTCTATTTGTTGTCATGAGTAACCTGCAACTGATCTACACTGAGCCTCCAAAAGTTTGAGACGACTCTCTTATGATTGTATCTTGATTCCATAAATGTGCTTTGTTTTTGTCAATGAACAATTGTCTTTTAGAGCTTGCGGTCATAGTTGTGTGTAGCTAATAACTATAGGCAATCTTTGTCTCTTACTGCTTATTATGAGAAAAGTGTTAAACTCATTAATTCGAGCCTTGTTTCATGCTTGGTATTGCGTGCTTTATTATGGTAATCCCTATCCACAGAAAACCGTGGATAAGAAGAGTACCTTTGCAAGGCAAAATGGAGGTTAAGCTGGGTATCTTTGCAAGGCAAAATGGAGGTTAAGCTGGGTATCTTTGCAAGGCAGAATGGAGGTTAAGCTGGGTATCTTTGCAAGGCAGAATGGAGGTTAAGCAAAGTATCTTTGTAATTGTGGAGACTGAGTATAATTGTTTCCTTAACATTGTGTTTAATATAGAGTATTTGTTCCCGGTTAGTGGCGCGGAGCAGTCTACCCAAAAGAGGAATAGCTGGGTAGCGTATAGCAAGATGACCACTCCAAAATATTATAAATTTAAGGAGTAATTTTGATTTTTTAGAGGAGAAAAAGATAGCAGGTTAGAAACCACTTCGAACGCTGCCGCTATAGCATTCTGCATCATTTAGACTCTTCTCATAGGGGCCTCTGCTCCGATATAGTGGGATAGTGCTGCTATTCACTACGTTTAATGTAGTAATAATAAATATATAACTGCCTAATTACTAGTATATGTGGTGAAGATAGGATAGCTTCTGGATTTCTCATTTATAAACTAATTATAAACTTGTGGATCACTCTGTCTTTTGTTTTTATAATACATGGTTATCAAAACCAAGGAAACCTCCATTGAGATTCTTGAGTTCTTTCTTTGTTCAGTGAGACAAGTCTACCATGTTTTCAAAGAAAGGCTACCTTGGACCCAAAACAGGTCCATTTTTCCTATACACTAAAAATAATAGAAGAATAAAGCTGATTTCTTTCCCCTTGTTTAACAATAACCAAATTTCACTTGCAACATAACAAAAAAAGAAGACTCCATCACACATCCTCCATAGAGGCTGTGAAGCTTCCAAAGAAATGCTAAAGCATACTGAAAATGAGAACATAATCACCACCCTTTCTCCCGCACTAGCCAATATTCACAAAACCTATCTTTACACTCCCCCAAAAATAACAATGCATTACAATATTCATCTCCTATCTTCACTATCACACATCAATCAAAATCTAAAACATTCACTTACATTTGGAAAATCAATATTTCATAAATCATCATCTTCCAGTAACATAATCATCACAGCTTCAAAGTGCAAGAGTAATTATTGCAAAGCCCAGTGTTGGCACTATTATAAGGAAACAAAGCAACAGGTCTAGTTCTTGGCAACTCAGGAAGAGGCTTCTCCATGTTATGAAGAAGCTCCACAACTTCTTCCATGGAAGGTCTTCCTTTGTTCTCATTCAAAGTACAAAGCAAACCGATTTCCATTACACGAATCGCTTGCTCCAAATTGATCAACGATCCCATTCTCCTATCAACAAGCTTCACTTTCTCATTAGTTTCATGCAAGTTCCATGCAAAATCCAATAAGTTCCTCTCTTCTGATCTTCCTTCCTCCACTTCCTCCACCCTTGGCCTTCCACCTATCACTTCCAACACAATCACGCCAAACTCGAATACATCGGCACTATTACACACTATTGATTCAAACTGTTTTGATTCTGCTCCCATTAGAATAAATCCGAAATCTCCCAAAACAGCTCTGAAGCTAACATCCAAAAACACGCTGCTGCATTTCATGTTCTTGTGAGCTAGTTGCTTAGTGTGCAAGAAACTCAATCCGTCAGCTACGTCTTTGATGACTTTGAACCGTCGTGTCCACGGAAGAACTCCCGCTCCAAACAGCCATTTATCGAGGCTTCCGTTCGGGACAAAATCATAGACTGCGATGATTTCATTGTTGTCTTGACACCAGCCTCTTATAGGAAGTAAATTCGGGTGACGAACATGGCTAATGACTTTGATTTCTTTCAATAACCGCTTCTTATCCGACCCGTGTGTGCTGAGAAACTGAGCTGAGAACCTTTTCACAGCTACTTGGCTTCCATTAGTACCAAGCCTTCCTCTGTAGTATACTCCTCTAATATCACTTCCAAGTATCTCTATCTCACTGAATGATCTAGTAGCAGAGGAAATTGCAGAAAAACTGAACCTGCGTGGTTTGTTCGGAGGCCTTGGCCGATGAATCTCATCCTCTATCGAAGTCTTCGATTTAGAAGCACTTTTTCTATGCTTACTGATAAAGTAAAAACCAATTAAAACAGCTAAAGCCAATACTACAGAAGCCACAAAAATCAAAAAGCTTCGCGGAGTTTTATTCCTATTAGACTTGTCGGTTACTTCTGTTGTTTCTGTAGTATTCTGCAGCAAGATCTTACCTTGACATGTTTCAGAGGAAGGGTAGCGAAGAAAAGCTTGACTAGTCGAAGTAAAGTTCCAAGAAAGTATATTATGAATCTGTGTGTGGTTTCCCGTTGAAGCTGAGAATCCTACAAACATATACTCGTTCAAATAAGGCGAAAGATCCATTAACTCGGAGAAGATAGGCTTGCTAGGATAAACTTCATCGTTGGGAAGTCCAAGACGAACGTCCATTCTCTTTCGAGGACCATCATAATGAATCCAAGCATGGTGAACAAAACCATCTTTAAGTGAAACACCAACATCAGAAACATTGATAATTTTGGTAGATACTATACTACCTAAATTGATACCAACATGATTATCATTGGGATCACCGAATTCAGGATTCATCCGTGTATCGAACTCAACTGCAACCGCTTTATAATCATTCTCACAAGCATCATTAAGCATAGCAAGCCAAGGTCCAGGCCTTCCAACAGTGAATTCATCAGGTACAATAATGAAGGTGAGTCCACTGCCACCACCATTATCAGTTAAATCAGAAGCACTACTAGTTGAATTATTGAGCTGAAATGAAAAGGTGGTTTGAAAAGAAGCCGGAGTTTTGGTGATCGGATCTAACAGACGAATCGGGAAGGAATATAAACCTCTACCTGCTTGATGTCTTATACCTGTTTCTTGTGATTCATTTGGGATTTGAAGTGAACCTTTTTCATTTGAGAATCTTGCACTTCCTAGAAGCTTTACATCATGGACTAATCTTGAGTTTTTGGTGAAACTGAAATCTTTGAAGGAGAAGTGTTTGGTTACATTGATTGGAACTTCACTAGATGAAAAAACTAGATTGAAGAAAAAGGAGAATATGAGGAGGAAAAAGGTTATGGAAGGCATTGTTTGAGAGAGGATAATGGAAGCTGGTTTAAAACTGTTGCTAATGATAAAGTGAAGATAAAAAGGATTAAAATTAAGTGGTACTAGTAGTTAAACAAGTTGAAAAGAATAATCTAATAATGTCACTAGGCTTAAAGGAGCATTTGCAATGGAATTTTGTTGATGAAGTTCATGTTTATGAATTATTGAACATTAATTAGGGAAACAAACAAATGATAGTAGCTACAAAATAGATACCATGTACTGTGTGTGGAGTAGGCTGGGTAAGTTTCTGAGGTGGAAAATTGGTTTTGAGAATTCATGGTCCACACATGTTTTTGTTTTTGGTCTTGTAAATGAAGCGTGAAGCGGTAATAAATTTTAGAAACTCACAAATACAATTACAAAATTTTGTGATTACTAAGGTTTAAACTTTGAAAATGACACTCAATCTATAAATATCGACTTCGTCAATTTCGATAGACGAAGTAATAATAATTATTAAAAACTCATACACAATTGTAAATACTAGAATTCAAACTCTCGTAATAACGTTTAACCTATGAATATCGATTTCATCAATTGCAATAGACAATGATAATAATTATCAAAAACTCAAACACACAATTATGAATGTTAGAATTCGAATTCTAACAATAATGTTCAACTTATAATAACATTTTTTGTCAATTGTAATAGACAAAATATTAATAATTATCACAAAGTCACGTACAACAATTTTGAATACTAAAGTTCAAATTCTGATAATAACATTTAATCTATTCATATCAACTTCTGCAAATTACGAATTTAGAGATGATTCCTAATTATTTGTGTGTATATATTTAATATTTTAGTTATGTTGGTTCTTGTATTAGTTTAAAGGCTCGAGTTAAATAAAAATTAATTTATTTTCTTATTTTATTTTAAAAGTTGTAATCAATACATTGTTAAAAAATTAGAATAACATTGAAATTAATACAACTTTATATAAATCATTAATGGTTTGACTTAAAATTTACCATTTTCCTCTTACAATTAAGGGACCAATAGAAAGAATCTTGAG